AACTCCCCGGCGAGGAGCCCTGCCCGCCGCCCAGCCGCCGGGGGACGGGCTCCTGCAGCCCCCGCGGCCCCGCGTGGCACGGCCGGGGCGACGCGAAGCAGCCGGAGATGCTGGTACTTTTGCAGGGAGTTGAAGCCCGTGCCAGCAGAATATCTGAATGACCTTGGAAATCGCTATCTGGGGCTAGACCGATTCTTGCCGGATGTCTCCTAGTCTCAGGAACTCCACGATTAACGCCGATTTAAACGTTTTAGGGGCCTTCAAAAAAAACCAAGATTGTGTACGCTTACTAACCTACCTAATGATTCCTGAACTAACAAAGCATTTACCTAAAACTGAACACAGAAGATGTTTTCTTTTACTGTATGCTTGCTCCAAAACTGCAAATAAAACAAGCAAGGCAATGCCGTTCTTTTAGAAGAACATTCTTTTTAAGAGCAGTTATTTTGCTGCTGATGAGCTGGTAAAAGCAGACAGCCCCAAACTCCCTGGAAGATGGGGCAGGCTCTGGACGACTCCTGGCTATAGGCAATGGCAGCTTTCCTGGGCACATGAGCATGGCCCTAGCTCCCTGGCAGGATGCAGATGGAAGTTTCTGCGCCTCTTCTGTGGGGGGCTGTGAAATGATTCAGGTGTTGCTACAGAGGTGAGCAATATCGTGGATATACCTATGAACTCCTGTGTGCTCGGCTGCTGTGGCAGAAATGGCATAATTCCCAAAGATAGTGATTCTAAAATTGTCATGTCTGAAAATTTAAATTCAAGAGGATTTATTTTGTCTGTGGGAACCTTGAATTATGCCTCTGGCATTCATAATTGTAACAGACTATAACTGTTGACAGGAATTGTGAATATTGACATAAACCTCCATTTTTTTTTCTTAAATTATTTTCATTTTTAAATTAATAGACATGATCTTTCTCATTGTATGCAAGATGTATATTTTCTTTCTTGGGAGTCAGAGGAGCTATCTGCCTTCTCCCCCACCTGTCTCCCTTCAAATAAAAATCATTATTCATACCCAAACAGTGGTGAGTCTATTGGAATTAACCTTGACAAAAATGTTTTCCTTACCTTTCTAATCAAATAGTGTGGATGAGACAGAGTATTGTCTCCTGAAAGAGGCCAAAAAACACAGTTTGGTCCAATGAATTCTTGCCTTTCTAATCGTTCTGTGATTTGAATTGAGATCCAGAAAGGTTATCTCCTCTAACTGCTGGCACAGGAAGCCTGAGTTTGCTGAGATTACTCCCTCCCTCCTTCCTCACCCTGCTTTATTCCAAAGTAACTGACTTTCTCAGGAAAATAAACAGTCACAGACTTCCCTTTCCTTTCCTGGGAAATGAATGTATCTCTTCAGTGTTTATTTCCTATCTTACAGTACCTGTTTGTTTTAGAAGTGCCTTGTGTTTGCTAAAGATTGGTCAAGAGCACTGGACAAGCTGATCAGTGGCCTTTCTCTTTCTGGCTTTTTTGTTTTTTCTTTTTTGTTTTCCTTCTTTCTTCCTTTCTTTCTTTCCTTAAAACTAAGGTTTGCCAGAGTGATGCACTGATGCTGAGGAGGCATCAACAGCTATGGGACTGTAACCCTGTCAAATGTAAACACTGGCAGTGTCTACAGAGAGAAATCGTGAGACGCTGAAGCAGAGTGTAGCTGCTGCCAAGCAGGTCATCTGCTCACTAAAGCTCAGATTGCAGTGTACCCAAATCATAAAACATGAACCTGTCCAGGCGGATTGAATGGAGGACTCTGAATGTGAGCAGTAGTGTTATGAACATATCTGAGCATCTCTCCTGCCCTCTTGGATTTGGTCACTACAATGCAGTTGACATCTGTATCCTTGAGACAGTTGTTATTGTCTTGCTAACGTTTTTAATTATTGCGGGTAACTTAACTGTTATATTTGTTTTTCACTGTGCTCCACTTCTGCATCATTATACCACCAGCTACTTTATTCAGACCATGGCCTATGCTGACCTTTTTGTTGGAGTTAGCTGCTTGGTTCCTACTTTGTCGCTGCTTCACTATTCGACAGGTGTCCACGAGTCCTTGACATGTCAAGTTTTTGGATACATCATCTCCGTGCTAAAAAGCGTCTCTATGGCGTGTCTTGCGTGCATCAGTGTGGATCGCTATCTCGCTATCACAAAGCCTCTCTCCTATAACCAACTGGTCACACCTTGTCGCTTGAGGATCTGCATCATTTTGATCTGGATATACTCTTGTCTGATCTTCTTGCCTTCCTTCTTTGGTTGGGGAAAACCTGGTTACCACGGAGATATTTTTGAATGGTGTGCTACCTCCTGGCTAACTAACGCCTATTTCACGAGCTTTATCGTGTGCTTACTCTATGCTCCTGCTGCCTTTGTCATATGCTTCACCTATTTCCACATCTTTAAAATTTGCCGACAGCACACCAAAGAGATAAATGATCGGAGAGCTCGATTTCCTAGCCACGAAGTGGATGCTGCTGGGGACACTGGGCACAGCCCTGACCGCCGTTACGCCATGGTTTTGTTTCGGATAACCAGCGTGTTCTACGTGCTGTGGCTCCCTTATATCATATACTTTCTGCTGGAGAGCTCTCGGGTGTTGGAAAACCCAGCGCTTTCCTTCTTAACAACGTGGCTTGCTATAAGCAATAGTTTCTGCAACTGTGTGATATATAGCCTCTCCAACAGTGTTTTCAGGCTGGGACTCCGGAGACTGTCAGAGACAATATGTTCATCTTGTATGTGTTTAAAAGACAGGGATATACGGGACCCTAAGCCAAGAAAACGGGCTAATTCCTGCTCTATTTAAAGAGAACTGGAGCATGTAATCAAACATGGAGTTTTGATAGCATTTGATATATCTGGAAACTTGCCAGAACAGAAATATTTACTTGAATAGTTTGCTATGATCTTAGGGATGAGTTTAAAAGGGATTTCAAGAAAAGGAAAAGGCGGCTATAAGAGGGGTCACTGAACTTAAATACAGCTCTTGAAATTGTGGGGAGAGATTCAGCAGAGAAGATGAAGAAAGTCAGAACTCAAATCTTCCAAACGGCATGAAATAACTAGCAATCAAAGGAGGTTCCTTGTAAAATCAGTTAGTTATTAGTTACTACTTTATATTTTTCCCCTTGTAGAAAGGTTGTCTTATTATCTTTGTGTCAGAATATACTGTAGCCTTCTGAATTTAAATATATTTAAGAGGAAATAATCAACAACACAGTAAGTGGCTATCCATAAATTATATTCCTGAGGATTTACAGTAGATGTTGCAGATTAATAATCAGCATTCTCTCTGCTTACATCTTGTACAATTTTCAGTTGTACAAATAATCCGCAATTCATAAAACATGCTCTGGGCATGATGCTTTTGGATAAAATTGCACATTTTGATACAATTTTCACAAAACTACTACTTCTCTTTTTCCATTTTCCCCTTCCTGAGCATTCCTGGTACCCTTGGTTTGAGGGTGGCTCCAAAGCCACCTGATCCTCTTTTCCTGCAGAAAGAAATAGCCCTTTCCAACCAGCTGAGTAGGCGCAGTCGCCCATGTTCAATGACTTCTTCATTCTTTCATTCTCTCGATCGTGTTAAATTAGCGCACAGTATTGATGTAGTGTCCTTTAGGGTGTACTGAAGCTTTTCCTTTATCGGCTACACAGATAATCCTAATGCAGATATGATAATGGCACACAGCAGTGTGCATCACTGCTTAGAAAATTAAAAATAAATAAGAGAACCTTTTCTTTGGGACGTCTAAATGGCTTACTGTTGTAGCTGCCAATCCTTTCTGTGAATCTCGCTCGCACATACTGTACTTTTTTCTTTTTCTTTTTCTTTTTTTTTTTAAGAGAGCTTGTGGTCTGTGCCTAATGTTTTCATAGCACATGGAATAGGTCAGTGCTACAGGATAAAAAAATAATTTAAGAGAAATACTTCTGTGCAGTTGTTGAATAGATATTTGTTAATGAAGTGTTCTTGGAGGAGGTGACCAAGAAAGTTTAGTATTAAATAGAAGCAAAGAGCTTCAGTATTTCCTTTTGTAATGAACTGACTTTCAGGTCCAGTGATTAAATATTTTTGTTTTGCAAGAGTGCATATTAGGTTTGTGTAATAAATTGCCAGGGGTTCAGATGCATGCCAATAAATGAAATATTTAAATTATTATTTTTGAACCAAATGTAATTTTCTTAGATGGTTATTGGCTTTTAAAAAAGGCCCAATTATTGATCATTGGTGCCTTTTAACACTGCACTATTATTCCTTCTCTTACCAAAATGCGTGTGTAGAGATTGTGCCTATTACTTTTTGTAAAGGAAGCTGAACCACACTTGCACACTGGTGGTTTGGGGCTCGATACCCCCGTAAGTTTGTTTTGTTGAGGTGGTTCTGAACCCCTGTACATTTTTAAAACTGTAAGAAAGCTGAAACAATGGAATAAAGTAGTATTACGTATATCAAAACCAGCCTTGGCTTTAGTTCCCTGATGTGATGCTCTATTCTCTTGGAAAGTGTTTTTGGGTTAGAACTTAAGAAGGATCTATCTGAAATCCCAAAATGAAAGCTGCTTACTTGCTGTCTCCAATGATTTCTACTGATTTCTTACATGGCATGGTCCTGAAAGCGGGTTGAAATGTGACTTGAAACATTCTCCCAGCTAAGCAGAACTGTTGCTGACAGTTATCCCTGACAGATACTACAAAAATGAGTGGTATTCTTTGCACATGCCTCATCCTGCCTCACGCCTCTGGGAATCTGTTTGTGACGGCCTTTTGCAAGCTTACTGCTTTCACAAGGCCCTCCATGGCAGACTGCTGCTTTCGAGAGCAGCATAACCCTGGCCCTTTTTATAAACAACCGTAGACCTCATTTAGCAGTGTTACTATACTTGGTTTCCCAGTAATAGTCCAGGAACATGCGAGAATTAGTCCAGGAACAGTGAAATATCCAATTTCTCATAACTCCCTGGGCTAGTTTCATAGCAGCGAAGTCGCTCTGTAGCTGCACGGCTCGCACCCTGAGGTAGCTCTGTACCTGCACTCCACGCTTGGACAATTCTCCACTCTGGCCTTTGGGGACGTTCCTGGTAACAAGTTTCTATGCAAGCTCCTGAGAGTCGAGTGTAGTTCTAGAAAATACTTGGAGTTTTATAAACCTCTTATTAAAAGCAAAAAACCCAAACTGAAGGAGGCAGAGCTGTGACTAGCGCAGAACTGTAATTACAGATACAAACAGAGGTAAAAGCCAACACATAAGTGTTTATAGTGCCTTATTTGAACCCTGCTTGTGTAACCTCAACAAATGGAGCTGATGTGCTGCGACTTGAAGCTCTCCTGCCTGTGAACAGGAGCTCAGAGAGGCATCTTCGCCGGGAAGCGGCTGCAGCAGAAGGTGCCTCGGCAGCCCGCCCGCCCGCTGCCCTGAGGAGCAGCGTTAGCAACTTCCCTCTCTGCCAGCCTGCTGGGCTTGGGGACTGCTCCGGTAGGATGAGGACTTCCTTTCCCCTCAGGCTGTGGTTGGATTGAGAGAGCACTGTAGAAATCCACTACCCTGCAAGCAAATGATAGGTTCCCTTCTTTCTTTTCATAATTTTTCTTTCTTTCTTTTTTTTTTTTTTCCTTCAGGCATGAGTGTGATAGCTTGCATGGATATAAGAGTGCTAGTTTGCTTCTCTGGGCCCTCCGTTCCAGTTGCTGGGAAATTGCATTGTTCTCTGTACATCTGAGTCTCCCGGAATATGTCAAATTAAACATAGCCAGCACAGTTCAATGCTGTCTTCTTTATTGCTCTTTCCAAGGACAGAATCTGACCTATAATAGTAGCCAGTCACATGAATGTTTAAATTTAGTAAGTGGTTTCGTTTTTCAAAGTATTTTCTAAAAACATTATTTTAAATTTTGTTCAAGGAAGGTTTGTTATTGTTCTAGAAATGCTGTCTGAAGCTTCCAGCTGGTACTGCAGAGAACTGCAGAGCTGGACATTTTAATGAATAAAGGCCAACAGAAATTTCTGTCCCCCAATTCATCACAAAAATATTTTAAGATTAATACCCTGCTATCATGTACCTAAAGGTCTTTATGTAATAAATATCTAGAGAATAGGTGACCTGATACTAACCAAAGAAGTCGACGTGCACAACCCGACCAGCAGATCAGGGCTGGTAATTGCATATGATAAACAAGCCTCTCCATCTCCTCAAACCTTGAGGGAGTTGCTAGAAATTCTTAGTTCTTTACAACGCTATCCAGTCATGGGGAAAAATCAGCTTTTTATAGGTAAGATGTTAAATAAAAAGGTTAAACTGAAGAGGTGTCATAGGTTAAGAACAAAAAGTATCTACAAGGCTCCTTTGTGCAAGTAGATTGTTTTGCCATTATATTCTCTTAAACTTGTGTAAGAGAGGTTATGTAAAGATGGATCATATAAGTGTTTTTGAAATTTCATGTCTTCAGCCTAAGGAAAAGTTAAAAAAAAATCATATAGTGGTGGCTAAACTGCTACCAGAAAAGTAGGTTTAAAGTATTTTTTTTCTCCTCTTTATCAAAATTTATGTGTTTCCTTAATTTCTGGAAATGCTAGATTAACTTTTTCTTTAAAAACATTATTCTTTTATTATTATTATTATTATTTTTCATTTTGCTTACAAAGCCATTCTATAACTGTGTTTGTAGAAGCACTGGTATCATGCTATGTTGATTTTTGTGCTTCCTCTAGTGAAAGGTTTGGAGTATTTTGCTCTGTTGATGGTGCCTTTCATAGAGACAGTTTGTGAAGATCTTTTATAAAAACATTTATAATGTTTTTACAAATATTCTTTATGCATATTTGGCAACTGAATAGCCGTAATCACATTTATATTTCACACTCAGAAAACAGTTTTTATGTAAAAAAAAAATACATATATATATACACATATATATATATACACATGAAGTAGCTTACCAGACAATACCAAAAATCACCTATTGAGAAAAGGGTGTCAATGTAAGGGTTAGCTATGTCATTGGCTTTTTATCTAGCATATAACAACTGGTGTTTAAACAGAAGCAGAAGTTGTTGCAGCAGTATATGGAGCTGATGGGATATGCATCACCTTTTATACTACCACAGTTGTTTCTCAACATTAAATTATTTTATCTATTAGGGTTTGCAGCCAAGCAAATAAATACATGGATTGTTTTTTATGCTGCTGGTTGACTGCTGAGGATCCTGCCTCCATGCATCCAAGCACTGGCTCACTCTGGGACTCTGCCTTTAATAAATCTCAAGAACGAGCTGCAGTGATGGCCCAGAGCTTGTTTGCCAAGGAAAGTGCCAGCAGTTCCCCAGGCCAGACCTGCCATGGGGCACTGCGTCTATGTAGGTGGCAGTGACCTCCCCACCTGTCTCCAGGGAGCAGCTCGCGTTCCCATCCTTCCCCTTGGCTGTCGCTGCCACCTAAAGAACAAGTTTAAGTCTTTAAGCTTATTGTCCCCTTTGCCCCTCTTCTTTTCCTGAGGTGGATTTATGGGAGGGGTGGTGCATCGTTTTCCTAATGATCGGAATTGCAGTTATTTTGGTTTTTTTTTAGTAGAATATTGTTATGTATATTGCTGAATGCCAAAACAGACACGACTGTTAATTTGCAGCTGACTAATTTTTAGGGCTTTTCAGAAAAGGAAGTATCTCTGAGATTGTTTTTTTATCACTTAAAATATTTTCTTGCACCTTAGAGATAGTATCTTTCAAAGACTACTTGTTTTTTTTCTGTACCAGATGCGGCATTTAAGTAGAACCTGATTTTTTTTTTAATTTTAAATATGTGTGTGTATATGTATCTATAAGCGTGCACACACACACACAGACACTGAATTATATACTGAATATACAGAGATCTTTGCAGTCAGTAAACTTTTTAAATTTTAAAAGACTATGTTATTTCTACACTTTCTACAGATTGGTGGGGTGAAAGCAATTTGGGAAGTTATTCAAGATAACTTCCTACTCACAGATTTTTCCAGTCGGTCTTCCTTATTTTTTTCCCCTAACTGATAATTGGAAAATCCTTCTAAAAATATGACCCGAGGTCTATGAGTTTCAAGTGCTACAGGAACAGTTTCTGAAAGGAGGAAAGACTGTAAATGGCTTTGTTCTCTGACATACCCTTAAGGAAATACTAGCAAAAACTAATCTTGCTTTAGCATCCTTAATTTCTGTGGATTTTTCTTTTTTCAAAGTTATGTGAAAGATAAGGTGAACATACAGAAATCTTAGTGTTTTCAGTTGTGTTGACAGGAGGCCAGGAAAAGCAATTTCAGGCAGTAAAAATGCCTGAAGATCTTTGTGATTTTATCACAATCTTCTGCAAACTGCTACCAAGCTTAACCCTCCTGAGCAGAAAGTGGCAGACTTGCTAAAGCCTCTTCTAGTTGCTCTTAATCAGCAGGTGA